CAGTCCACCCCTGGGTGCAGCATTGCATGACCGTGCAATTGTCAGTTAAAGTAATGCAGCACCATAATGCAAAAAATGGCCTGGTCAAGAATGGGGGTAAATCCTCAGGAGGGCAAGTGGTTAAAGAAGTGGGCTTAGCTTAAAGTGAAGCTGCAAGAATGACAATTAGTGAGCCAACATTATGGACTTGTTTTGAAAAGAGAATGCTTTGGGATTGTCATTCTTATTCTGGGTATATTGCCTAATAAGCTTCTGATCTTTAACAAGAAGCCAGTGAAGTCTGAAAAGTCTAAACTTCATGCTTGTTCCAGGTCAGTTACTTACTGAGTAGAGAATCCGGGATGATAATGACAGCCTTGGAATTGGTATCTTTCAAACAGTCAGAAGATGACTGATATTTCTGTTCTCATGGGTTCCTTTTAAAGCCCAACTCTGGAAAAAGTAAACTCCTCCTATGCAGTGGGGCTGTTGTTTAATCTAGAGGGCAGTAAAATTGGTTTTACTTACTTGTCCATCTGCTCTCCTGGAAAATGTAGAGTGAAACATTGAAATCCAAAGTTTCTCAAGCACAGAACTATGGTGAGAGTAGACAGCTATAAATAATGTTTTTTACTTTATTTTTTTCAGGGTGACAAAGGAAATCAAGGTGAAAAAGGGAGCCAGGTGCATTTTTTCAACAATTTGTTAGTAGTAATACTTGTAATATGTATACACAATTAAAACTGATATATGCAGATATATGCGTATGCATGTACAGTTTGTTAATATAATAAATGCATCTGAAAAGCTGATACAATATTTTTTTTAATTGATGCTTTCGTAATTCAGTAAGTTGTAGTTTGAATGTCCTATTTTCCCGCATTCTCATTTTTCCCTGCAGTGACAAGGCTATACTCTAACAGTACAAATTATTTTCATGCTTTTTCTGACATAAATAAATAAATAAATTAATTAATTAATTAATAAAGACACATATTTAGGATTCATTTAGCACTACAGCAGACATCAACATGTAAAAAATACTCATTTCAGTGATGACCTGAACTGTCTATGAGTGACAGTCTCGTATTGATACAGATGAATGATGTCTGTCATTCAGAAGCAATATCAAGCAATTACTTGCATCTCACTATCACAAATGCTTACCTATACAATTAAAACATAAGTTTTTTTTGTACCACTGAAGGTCTGTGTAATGAAAAGATTGTTAATGCAGATAGGCTACACTTACTAACAATTTTACAAAACTTTCTTGTACAGTATAATGGAAAATCTTGCAATCTGTGTTGAAGATACTAAGTACCTTGAAATGCTTTTTGATGGGTTGTGCAGACAAACTATTGGATTGACTATTACAAATAATCATTAAATCCACACATAGGGATTAGTTAAAACCCCATCAGTCTTTTTTGTAATCTGTGTCCCACTGGGGTGATTTCTCTTCACATCTTGTCCTATAAATACTAAACTAAGAAACAGACCACCAGAGGATTTCCTCTTTGTTCCTGTTTCAGTGAAACTTCTAATTTTGGATTTTTTCCTCAGTTTCAGTATGAAACAATGGTTGACAATGGTCCCTATGACAAATAGAAAGTGCACATATTTCCTACTTGTGGCACAGACAGCAAAATCATTCTAACAGGGGTTCTAACTGTGCCAGCACTCTATCGAAAACTTAAAGTTTGGGTTTTAGATACACTTTAAACCTTTCAAATATTTGGTTGAGTTAGGAAAGCGAGGTAAGAAAAAAAGAAGGAAAAGTAAAGATGTGACATATAGCAAACAATTAGAATTTTTCATGAGAAAGAGGAAACAAGAAATCTGATTGATTGTTTTAGTAACCCCTTCCTTTTAGCTTCAATTTTCTTTGTTACTTTTTTCAACAATCCACCTCTGTGTTACAGGTTAATATTCTCCCCAGCAGCATAAACTATACAATTATTTTGCTATTTATTATATAAATGTAAGTAAATATATAAAAAAATGCATCCACCGATAACAAAAAAAAAAAAAAAAAATTTTTAATGTTTACTATTGCACCATAGTAAAAATGTAACACTGTAAATGTAAAAATGTAATTGGGTGTTGAAAAAAGTAACAGTTTTTCTAAGAGAAGCACAAATATATTCTTCTCTGAGACTGCATTCACTCCTTGGTGGTTTGGGATTGTGGACAGAAACTCTAATTTCTGCCAATGTTCCTGGAAACGTGCAAGAAAAAGTGTGAAAAATGTGCCAAAATGCACATTGCAAAAACATGTCAAGCACACTGCTAAAGAAAAAGTGCAGAAGCTACTTTGTTGCATTTGGCGCGTGTAAGGCAGCCCATTCAAGTGAATGGGCTGCCCTATGCTGTCACATGACAAACACAAAAAAAAGCAGGAAAACAACTCCTTGCATTGCACAGGTAAGAATGGGCCATGAGACTTATTACATAGAGTGGAAAAAAATAAGAATACCATTAAAAATATAATTTGTGAAACCAAAAGGTTGTTGCATTAATGCAGACTTTACGACAAGAAATATGACATATAATGTTGCAATGTTTGTATAATAGATGTATGTTAAACCCTTGTAAGAAATCCAATTATATTTGTATATTTTTTAAAGGGCCAAAAGGGAACTCAGGGTTCTTTCGGTATCCCAGGAATTGAGGTCTGAAAAATTTGCTTGATTTTTGCTTGCAGTTGTTATTGCTTTGAATTGTCTATTCTGTTACCACTCCGCTTCATTTTTTTAATATATTTTTTTTAAGCGTGACACAGATCAGATCTTGTTTATGTATTTTAACTAAAAATTGTACTGCAGAGACTTCAGGCCACTTTTATTTTATTGAACCATCAGAAATTGCCGTCTGGGGATTGTTAAGCAATTTAATAACTTTTGTTTACTCTGCTGCTTTTATGAGCAGCAAAAGCTGAGCCTGGTGCCTGGGTTCCTCACCCCCATTCCGACACTGCTGATGCCAGCAAATCCATCACACACTCATGCAGTTTTAATCAATACAACTTGTGAGGCTGGACAAGCTGCAGAGCCCCCATCCCTCAGTAGGCTGCTTACTGCAATAAAACTCTCTGCACTGTGCTGCTAAATTGCAAAAGGGGGAGTTCTATGTGGCCGAAGACATTCAGTTGCTGGAGCCTTTTTACTACAGTCTATAACCTCCCCAAATCAATGTGACTCCCTTACCACCTCACCTTCTCTCCTCCAGTCACAACTATTCCCCTCCACCTCCCTTTCTGGTCACTGTGCCTCTCTACCAACTACCTTACGTTCAAGATCACAGCACCGCCAAACTCAAATCCCTACTCATACCACCTCTATATCTCCATTCTACCCACCTTAGACCCCATTCATAACTTCCCTCCTACCCATCTCATCCGTACCCTAGTTCATGACTTTGCCTCTGTCTACCTTCCATCTCAAACACTATCTCCTCCAAAATCTCCATCCACCCTCTTCCTCACCCTTCCCTTCCCTTCCCTTGGGGGGGGGGGGGGACATATTTTGCCATCTTCGCCCTGAAGGCTGGATGACCTTCATCTGACTTTGCTTGCACTAAACTAGATACTAACTAAAGTCGCCTAAACAGTTACTGTCCCATTGATGGTTACATTTGATTTGTGGGTGCTTTTATCTTAAAGTAGTCTATTTTTGGTTATGCATTTTGCACTTTATAAGGAGAATGTCAGCTAATATGCTATGAACTCTTGAACAATATCAGTATCTAGTATAAGGAGTGCAGCTTGTTCTTTGCTTTTACATGTTTTCCAGGTGTCCACACAGAATCACATGAGAGATAAATAGTCTTTAATTCGAACAGTTGTAGTCCTAAAAGGAAATCTGGAAAATGTGTACTTGTGGACAGCCCTGAAAACTGCTGAGTCGTTGAGTACTGATGATAAATCAATATGCATTGCATTCAGAGAGACAGATAGCTCTGTTCCTATTTTGTCAGCACAAATTATAGCAAACCCGCTAACACAACTAAATCTTTGACCACTTATAATATTTTGCTTATTTTTAAAATGTTATCTTTTAAGCTGATTTTAACTTTTAGCATTTTTTCCCAGGGCGAACAAGGAGGGACTGGTGCCAAAGGAGAGGTATGCATTAATACTGGAAACAAAAAAAGTTGCTTCTAATGTTTGTTGTTATACTGTGCAAAAACCATAAAAACGATGTTTAATATATACTGTAGTATAATATTCTCATGATGAAATAAACACATATATAGGTTAATCTGATACCCACAAGTATATATTTTATCACATTGTAATTTTAGCTTATAAAATTACCAGCAATAACATGTACTATATATCTGTCACTTAAAGAAAATAAAGACACGAAAGGAAAGAAACAAACATTCTAAAGTCTGAGTCATAATGTGGCAGCACTCAAATATTGCAGAGTTCCCCTTTAAGCTGTAATATTTCTAAAAGCATCTGTTTGCAGAACCAGGTCATCAGCTCACTTTCTACAGTAAAGAGAAAATATATGCATTGTGACGTAATTTTTGATATATACACCATGTAAGATCCTTTTCAAGGCACTTAGCTTGCTCTGACACGAGTCTGGCTAGGTGAAAGTTTTCCGGAGTTTTCCTGGAATTCCCAAAGTTGCCATTACAATAGCTGCACAACTAACACCATAGGTTTGTTTGAAATCTCTGCTAGCTGTGTTGCTTTGCCACTGTATGTAAGTGTCAAGGGATGGATCTGTTTGGGGCATGTACATTTTCTGCTACATTTTTGGGGGGCATGAACATAAAGTGGATCTTAAGCCAAAAACTCCAAACAGACAACAGTACAAATAAATATATATATATGGGAACATTTTCATCTGCCAGGTTTTAATTATGTTCAGCCATTCTTGTGACATATGGATCGCACAGCTATGAAAGTGACCTTGTATCCCATTTCATCCTTGCAGCTGTAACAGTTAGCCTTATTGCACTGTTTATGAAATGTTCTAATCTGCCATGTCTAGCTGCTTGTACCTATCACCTGCTAGATAATATTCAGCACTGCATCATGGTCATGCTGCATCTTCACACCTGGCTCACTCTATAATGTTTACATTGAGTGGAGATCACTCAGTGGATACCCAGTCAACAGTGTCTGTATCTGACCTGGCAGGTTGCATTTATGAATGTTAGGTCTGCGCAGGGGCAGACAGACCATTTGGAAACTCGGGCACTGCCCGAGGGCCCGGGGTCAGTAGGGGGCCCCATGAGATGCCCCTGGCACCTTTTTCATAGGCTTTTTTTATTTTGGGCAAGGACACAGAGGCCCCATGATCCCCTATTGCCCGGGGGCCCCATGAGTTGTCAGTCCGCCCCTGGGTCTGCGTATAACTCATCTTCCACTTAGCATTTGCCTGTCAGTCTATGCTTGTAATCTGCTATTTCTGCCTGCATCTGCTTAGAAATACTTTTGTTTATGCTTTCTTCCTGCTGCCCAGCGGACCTGCTATTTTTCTTTAACTAATCTTGTTTGTCGTCAGCACTGATATCCAGCCTGTTTATTCTCCCCTATGCCTTCAGATTTAGCATTTCCCTCTGGTTCTAACAGAAATATCAACTGTCACCCTAGGCAATTCCCAGGATCACCCTCTGGCATTTGCTTACAGTGCAATACCTGCTTCACAGATAACCAGGGAGTACAAACATGTACAAACTTTGCAACAGCCTTTTGACACCTGTTGATGACACTTAGGGGGAGATTTACTAAAACTGGGGCACACAAAATCTGATGCAGTTGTACATAGTGACCAGTCAGCTTCTAACTTCAGCCAGTTCAGTTAAGCTTTGACAATAAAACCTACAAGCTGATTACTATGGTTACTAAGTTTAGTAAATCTCCTCCAAAGGATCATCTTTAATACATAATGGCCGCAGCAGCAGGTGCCATGTGCCTGCTCATTGTTAAATAGATAAAAATGATGTCATTAAAATAATGAGTTAGAAAGTAGTACTGCCATTTCATAGTATGGAGAAAAATTAATTACCTATGGACACATATATGCACGTCAGTCTTTATGAAGTCTGAAAATTTATTTTTGAAATTTTTGAAATTGAATAAATTAAAAACAAGTGTGCTAACTCCTACCTTCTGACCATGCCTTTTTATAATTAACAATGTTGTCCACATTTTACAGTATCTTATGCTTGCTTTTGCACACGAAGAATCTATTCCATTAGGCAAATGCAGACATACTGTATAACTTCATTAAAAATATTTGGAACAAGTTGAAACAGTTGCAGAGGGTAGTGGGGTCTATCGAATATAGTCCCGTATGGAGCAATAATTCCTATGCGGAGCTAGCAAAACTACAACAAGGGCCAGGTGGAAAAAATTTGGGGTGATACATCTCTCAATTCTCTGTGATGCAAAAAAGATTGCCTTGCTCTCTTATATGTATTATTATTACATCCAACTGCGGCATGCTATTAGAGATCAGGGGAATGTGGGTGGTTGGGTCTAGTCCCCAACTCCAGTCTTTAATTTGTGTGCCAATGGCTTTGTCTTTCAATGCTAAAATATGCTACTAACTGACTTTCTTAAAGAGTACCTTTTTAAATTGACAGCTCGCTGGGAGGAGGATATAGGCCAGGTTTCAGGAGTTCAGTGGGATGAGGAGTTCCAATCTGAAGTTATCAGCTCCCTTAATGTCTCACAGAAATTGTTTGCAACTCTTTATTTTATTGAGAGCTCATTACACTCCACATAGACTCCACAAAATGTGCACACTTGTTGACCAGCTATGTTATAGATGCAGAAGAGATCATGGGGAACTTATTCATCTCCTCTGGTGTTGCACAAAATTGCACCAGTACTGGGCAAGGATTCCCTTTGCAAAGTAAAAACTCCTTTTCAAAGTGAACCTTTAGTAATTCAACCTCATGGTTTGTTATTACATCCAATTAATCTTATCAATGAATGTTTAATTTATTTTGTTCATTTTGGTTAATTATGAAGTATGATTTGGATCACTGACTTTCTAGAATATAAAAACTCTGTTTTCAGAGTCATCATATTCATTAAGGGCAGTAGTCCCGGTATTTGGGTTTTAGTAGAATTCTCTTTTCCAACTACCAATGTGATAGATCCTGTTCCACTAGATTCCACACAATCACAAAACTACAAAAGAGCCACCCATCCAGTTTGCAAGTTTCTCTCCTTTATCACAAAATGTACCTTTTTGTTTGTAGCCAATGATTTAAATTTTTGCTATAGATCAGGACACTTTCAAAATGTCTTTAGTTTATCTAGCTGTTGAGAATAATGGTGAGGTTTTCATCTATCAATTCTTACATGCAGACCATTTTGCAAAATCAGTACTGCATTGTGGAATAGAGCACATATTTTTCAATGACATCTTCCTTTAGAGTCTTTTGCAATGATATGAGGATTCCACTGTGTATAATTGACTGTTCTTGCACATACAGCATTTTATGTTTCACTATTTCCAGTCTACTAAATTCAGCAAATAATAGTAATTATGGATTCCAATATGCAGAAATATGTTATGTTTAAGTTCCCTACAGAGGCTGTGTTTACTTCGTTTTAGTGAGAAAATCAGAAAAACATGTTGCAAATTGCTATATATGACTATAGGTTAAATGAGTTTCTACAGTTAAATGGAATAATTTTCTTTACAGAAAGGGGAAGTTGGAGAACCAGGAACCCAGGGATTCAGTGGACCAAGAGGAGAACCTGGTCCTGCTGGTTTACTTGGATCACCCGGTCCTAGAGGAGTCAATGGTGACAGAGGACCCCCTGGGCTACCAGGACAGGAAGGAAGGCCTGTATGTGTGTACAGTGGTTAAGGAAATAAGTAACTGGTTTATAATTATCTAAATAGGGCCATGTAGCAAAAAAATAATATTTTTTTTTGAGGCTCCGTTCCCGCTAAAGCGATTTAGGATGTGACTTGCATTGCACAAAATTGCAAGACAATGGAAATCACTCTAGGCCTGTTGTATCAAAATGTGCTTTTTAACTGCACTACAGGTTTCATCCTGTTTGCTGTGAAAGAAAATTGCCATTATTACTAAGTATAATACATAAGGGTCATAGTCACCATCCAAACTGGACTTTCCATCCTGACAGGTTGAAGAGAAATCCAGAAGATGTAGATTTGTGGCATAATAACAATTGTAGCTTCCAAATACTGACATAGATCATTCTAATAGGTGATATGGCTCCACCACAAGGCCAAAGAGTGTCTATTCCTATTTTGCTATTCTCGTTTTTGTTAGTTATGATCCACTATATACATTATCTATACAGCAGTTTGTGTAATCATGTTCTTGCTTGTTTTAAGCCCCATGGTGACCATTTGGTTATAAGCTTGTATTTAACTTGCTTATACCTTAAGGTGGAAATTGCATTAGGCTGTGCTCACTTTTATTTTACCTGAATTAGAGTTTTACAGATACTAATTTCAAAAATTGCAATATTGTTTTGTAAATTATAGAAAAGATTTGGAATTGTTATGTAAAATCAGAACATACAGTACAATTTTGGAACTTATTTTTTTTTAAAAATCTTTTTATTGAACTGTTTAGCACATTGAGGAAATACACACACAATAGACATAACAATGGTTCACATGTATCCAACCCTCGCAGGGGTGGAGAAAGGTCAAAATGATATATCTAGAGAGATTGCAAACAAAAAGGCTGCATCAAAAGATTATCCTAGATGCCCATATGGCCATCGCTATTAACAGATGAATAAATGTGGGAATGTGAAGTGTCCCATACTAGTGTACGTTATATCGTGCATGATGTCCCTAAGGCCAAGAGAATGTACAAATATGCCTGAAAATTACAATGACTACTCAGGTTATTGGCATGTCAGAGGCAGTGGAGGGTTCAGCCAGCCATTTGGACCATACTCTATCATATTTTTTGGGGCATCCCCTGTGCATATAAATATCCTTATAAAGTGGTAAATTAGCATTAATTATCTGCTTCCATAGCGTAATAGATGGAGGAGCAGGTTTTTTCCAATTCAAAGCAATGGCCTTTCTAGCATAGAACAAAAGCAGGCTAATCAGAGTACGTTCAGCTACAGTAGGTAGGGGATCGCTAACCAAACCTAATAAACACACCGACATGGTAGGTTGTAGGGGAGCTGAGGTCAACTTATTGCATAAGCATATTACCTCCTTCCAGAAATCAGACAACGCAGAGAAATGCCAAAACACATGGGCAAAATCTCCCGGTGCGCACCCACAACGCCAACATTCGAGGGAGTGTGTTGAGCTCATTTTGTGAAGCCTATATGGCAGGACCTTTTTTAAAATAATAAAATTATAGTCACTTTCTACATAATGAAAAAATTGTTATGTAGGCAGAATATGAAAAAAAATTAATTCAGTATTTTTTTTTTTTTTTTGCAGTTTAAAAACTTTTATTCTGTTGCAATAACCTAGGCCCTATGCTTATGACTGTGGACTTTGGAAACTTGGGGGTTTAGTTACTAAAGCAAAAAGGCTATTACAATTCCTAGATTGTAAGCTCGAAAGAGCAGGGCCCTCAATCCCCTCATATTTTGCATTGTATTGGTATTGTTCTGTCACATGTTCTGTCCCCCTTTGTAATGTACAGCGCTGAGCGAACTATTGACGCTTTATAAATACTGTATAATAATAATAATAATATTCACATTGCAAGGGAAATTAATTTTTTTCGCTTAGTTAAGTAAACATTCCCTTGCAAAGTGTACAGTCTATTTCCCTTTAGTAAATCAAGCTCCTGTTATTATTATCTTTGTGTATATATGTGTATTAATAAAATGTTTATTTTGCAAGGGCAAAGAACATTCTGAACAATTCATAAGACAAATTTGCCTTGATGTTATAAAAGGTATGTTACAAGAATAGAAATTATGTTTTTCTTCTAATGTAAATCACAACACTTTTGTAACATAGTCCCTTAATGTACAGAATAATTACATTCATGAGCAAAATGTATCAATAACAATAGAAATGCAACATGTAGACCTAGCATGACCTTACTGAGTTAATTTAAAAAAAATAAGTAAATTAGACTGTAATATATAATAATTAAATGTCAATCCATGGTATTACAGGACACCGTGCAGACACACATTGTGCCTGTATTTCATAGTCAGTTCAGCCTGAGGCAAAATGCAGGTTGTGCTTGAGCAGAGAGGTGTGTGTTCAAGAGGCAGGTTGTTATTAGAAGGGTGTGTGTGCCAGCATAGACTGTGTTTGGTCAGAGGGGATAGTGGTGGATTATCAAACTACCCAATACAGGCATGCTCTGTGTCTGCACAGTGTCCTGTACCTC